ATCGCTGAGCACCTGCGCGAAGACATCAACAGCGCGTGGTCGATTCCTCTGGACGGCAGCTACTACTTCAACGGCAAAGCTGCGCAGAAGTATGCATCCCTGTGCCTAATTGCGAACGACGTCGCGATTGTGGGCGACGACAAGAGTCTGCTGAAGACATGCCTGGAGAAACTACGCCGTGTGATGGCGCCGTTCGTAGCTAATAGATGGGCCAACAAGCTCCAGTACGACCAGGTCTACGGTGGCATCGTGAGCTCGCAAGGTTTCAAGACCAAAGATCTCAACTCGGACTTCGGTAACACCATGTACAACGACCATCACTTCCATTACGGCTACTGGGTACACACGGCGGCCATCATCAACCGCCTCGACCCGACGTGGAGTGACCTCAGCAAACTCAACATCGTGGTCGACCTTCTCGTACGCGACGTCGCCAACTTCGACCGCGAAGACAAGTTCTTCGCACGATTCCGCTCGTTCGACTGGTTCCGCGGCCACTCGTACTCACACGGCGTCACTCCGTTTGCCGATGGAAAAGACCAGGAGAGCACGTCGGAAGACGTCAACTTCGCCTTCGGAATGTACATGTATGGCAAGGCCACGAACAACGCGGCTATGGAGGCCGTCGGCAAGCTCATGACGCGTGTCAACGCGCATGCTATCAAGACGTACTTCCTCGTCGAGGACGCGAACCAAATTCACCCGGCCAACTTCCGCCCCAACAAGGTCACGGGCATCTTCTTCGATAACAAGGTGGACTACGCGACATGGTTCAGCGCTGAGAAGCACTGCATCCACGGCATCCAGATGATCCCCGTGTCGGCTGTGACCGAGTTCGTGCGCACCAAACAGTTTGTAAAAGAGGAGTGGGAGCAGGTGCTGGGCAAGGAGGCCATCGTTACGCGCGAGGACACGGGCAACACCTGGCTCTCGCTGCTGTACGCGAACTTCGCGATGGTGGACAAGCAGCGCGCGCTGCGTGTTTTGCAGAAAACAAAGATGGACGACGGCCTGTCTCGTTCCTGGGCACTCTACATGGCTGCCAGCTTTGCTGAGTGAGTCATACCATCTGCTGATGTCGTTGGGATTAGTACACCGAGCACTGCTGTCACAAGAGATCACGTAGTGTCGCGTCCGTTCAGCTGGTGTTGATTGTGTAATTTCAACTTCATCCAATACACTCGATATCGTTGCAGTTCGAGAAAACGTGGTCGACTCTTTTCGACCTCTCAACATCATGCATATTTCGGGGCAACGTGGCGAACGAAAGCACACGCACGTGTTGGCCGCCGCTTCATTGGTGCCGTGCCCTGCACTTAGTAGGTGACAAGATCTTCTCCGCTACCATTACATAGCAGGTCAAACTTCGACATGGATGGCACGGCGGGGACTCCAAAGTCCTCCACGATAACAGCAGAGGCGTCACTGTCATCTGCAGTTGGCGTTCATCGAACGCCGTTTCCCACATCGATAGACAGCAATGCCTCATCAGTCATCGACGGATGTAATTTTCCGCTCGTAATGCCGACCAGGTAGTAAGTTATACCCAGACTTCCGCCAGTGCAGAGAAACTTGAATGAGATGAGCCCTCCCCGTAGAGCGGTGTGTAGCCTGTATGCGTATCAGCAAAGTCTGAATACCCTCGCTCCACCCCTTGACCGTGCCACGCGTGTACTTTCCATAGCACGCAAGTCCGATAGTACTACTACTCATTCGAGCTTTGCGGTCACTTGAGCAGCAGTTGTGGTGAAGATGCCACTGTCTCGAACAAAGTAGGGAAGAGCGACAATGCGAACGCCTTTCAAATTACGTGTACCCTCCTCTCTTCTTAGCGGGAGGGGCTATTCCAGCACATACTGGAAGACCATCCAGCAGATACTTCGTTTTGCCTTTTCGGCGGTTTATGCGCGTCTAACATAGATGGACAATAACGGTGGCGGCTGTGGTAGATGTGCATACTTGATCCATCTATCTCCGCTACGCCCGTTCCCCGCGCCTCGCGCTCGCTTCTGTGATCGCACTTCAAATGGCAGGGCTGCATCAATGGCCACTTAGGGTCCCACCATCACTGGTGTTAGGGTCTTCATTTTTTGCGCGTTGCCTTCGCGTCACATGAATACGGCAGATCTGCCGCGTTTGCAATCGTCCCTACGCCTAGGAGTTGACAGATTGAAGCTGTCCCACATTTCTGCAGCAAAGAGAAGAGAAGCACTTGGAGCACTTGAAAGACAGACTCGCAGCGTATTGGTTAAAGTGTCTTTCAGTCCCGCGCAACACCTGACCTTTCTGTCGTTCGAAAAATACCACGACAAGCTCCGCGACGGCGCTTAGTTCCTGGCACAGAGATATTCGAAGGTACTATTACCTTGATAAAGTACGATCTTGAGGTCACAAAACGAACCTATCTCTGCAACTCTCTCCGCTCACCGTGTTCGGATGGTTGTCTTCAGGTGTATTGAGTCCAACGTGAACCGTGAGTGATCGTGACAAAGTGTAATCCCACATTTGTTATTCGCTGTCTCGTACGGACCTATTTTTGAGCTGATCTATCATGACAACCGCTATAAAATCGACACTCTGTTTACAAATCAAAATAGCAGAACATCCTAATTGATCTACGCTGCAGGGATGAGCCTGCTATCTTATCTTGAGGCCACTCCATCGAGCGGCAGTGTGCGCGAGGAAGTAGCGAAGCGATGAGACATCTCTCACTTATGGGCAGTGATGAAGGTGGAGGTTTAGATGTATACGCACAGGAAAATGTGGGCGTTTTGTTTCTTGATGGAATTGGTGATGGCAAATCGGAGACCGAGCGACGCAGATGGCGATGAAGACGACGAACGAAGCACAATAACGACGATCAAGACAACAATAACAAACCACAAGAACGACGAAGGAACACGACAACGACGACTAAACTACGAACAAGATAACACCAACCACAACGACGAACACGATAACGTGAGCCACAACGGCAAACAATGCAGCAACAACAACGACATCAATAATGAATGCAACGGCTACGACGACGACAGGAGGCCACAGGCACTAGTGGGCAATCCCCAGTTGCATTAACAAGTTTGCGCCGCAACTTAACAATTTTTAGCCAGCCATTACGGACACACCGAACGTCAGAGGCAGGACAAGAGTCATTGTGCAACAGAATCGTTCGGGATGATTTACGAACAGGAAAAGCAAGAGAGGAACGCGAACTAGAGGGAAGGGGAGTGCAGTCAGCGGACCAAAATGTGGCTTGTCAGAATGGTCATTTGGAGTGATTTACGATCAGGAAAAAGTAAGTGAGGAACGCGAACAAGAAGAAAGGGGAGTGCAGTCAGTGGACCAAAATATGGTTTGTCAGAATGCGTATGCGCTGGGAGGAAGCTCGTGATGTATCGATAAAGCCCATACAAAAAAACGTTCATTCGTCGTAATAGTGATGCTCACGGAGAGTCATAAAAAATCTGTAGCAGCTACATGGTTTGTAACGGGGCACCCTGAAGCTTGTACTGATGACAGTACAAGCTACTTATTCTGATGACAGAATAAGGAGGTGCCTCGGAACTTCACGTGCACTGGTACGTGCAGAGGAAGACGGTAAGAAGAAGCGAGTACTTGGTTAGAGTAAAAAGTAGAGCTGTATTTATCATGGTTAATGTCTGTTAATAAACCACTAATTATCCTCATCTAACTATGTCTGAATACAAATGTGCATATCAACTATCTGCTCACCACTCATTGCGTGCGTCTGTCGTGGCGCGTCCTTATTTGGTTGCTATAATGGCCTATATCAACCAATTAGGAACTACTCGTAAGTGCTACAGAACATTTGTCCTATGACAAGATTCTGAGAATACAATTCTAATAGCTACATTCTATTAACAATTTTTAATGAATTGTTATGTAACGATTCACCCCGTTACATCACCCCCACCTTAACCATCAGTCACTTTAGTAACTATTTGACTAATTGGATACTCGTCCCAAATCATTTGGGACAGGGTTTACACTTGTTGGTCCGAGTCCACTTTCCAACAATTCATCGCATGTTAACAAGCCCATGCGGTGCGCGAGCAAGGCCGCCGAGAGCGCGTCCACACGTCTCTGTGCGGACGCCGAAGCAGAAACCCCAGCAACTGATGTCTCATCGGTTGCTGAAGCGACTCAGCCTGTGTCACTTGGTGATGCAGGCGCTGGTCATGAAGACACTCATGTCTTCACAGAGTATGAGCTCGGTGATTCATACTCTCCCGACACGGAAGACGGATCCGTAACGAAGGCGGTTGAAACCAAGCCGCCTGCCAAGCGTGGTATGGATGATGCTATGCGTCGCAGCACCTTTGGTTCATGTGACGAATCAGATGAACCATCGCCGAAGCGAAGGCGCTCGAGGTCGCAAGACTCGGGCGCTCACAGTGGTGTCGGTTCTCCAATTGACACCACTTCGCAGCGAGGTGCCAGTACTTCTGTCGGCACGTCGCAAGAAGAGCGGGACCGCAACGTGTTGCGTCTCGCTCCCCGAGAAGAAGGCATGGATGCCTCCCTAATCCGTCATGGATCACTTGTCGGCGACGACGAGTGATCGTTATCGAACACGATTGTTCGATTCGTCAAGTATCCATCACCTTGACCCCAGCGCGAAAAACCATCGCGCTGAACACGAATTCTTCATCGATGCTTTCTTTAAGCATCGATGGTACAGTGGGAATCACAAGCGTGATGGTCCCTCACTACTTCAAGCGTGGAACGCTTACATCCATAACCTTGAGGATGTAGGTCGTGACGTTTGGAACGACAAACTTATCAAAGCTCGTGATAAGTTTGAAAAGCGAACCCCGACAGGTGCACGCTACAAGCTGCATCGTCTGTCTAGAAGGAAAGGGTTATCCTGCCTCTCCTGGGGAGACTCGTGCCCATGTTGTGTAAACAACTCTGGGCGCGCACCTAAGGAGGCTTACGTCCTTAATAGCCCGTGGTGGCGCGCACGTGTCTCTAGTGAGATGTACGAAGGGATTGACAACCTGAAATCCCTTTACGACCGTGCCGGGAAGACTTTCTCCAGCGGTCCTTCTGCGGCACAGGATGTGCCGCATCGTACTGCTCAACCAGACCCAGTACGTCAGCCATCAGTTGGGAGCGGGGCTCCCAAGTATCCCAGGACGGGGGATAGCCGCGCCACCGGACGAGGTAACTCGTCCGACGTCCGTTTATATCGCGGTGGTTCAACAGCTGCTCAACCAGATAGCGCTGGCCACCGCGAGAGCCCTCTAATGGAGGTGGAGGAGGAGGGAAAATGCTCTCCACACTGTCATGGGGATCCGTGTGTTCCCGAGAGCTTCTTTGATCGCGTAACGCAAGGGTTACGCGGCGATCTTGAACATGAGCGGGACAGGCGTCTTCAACTGGCGGACGCTGTCTTGAAGCATCGAGCTGAGTTTGCGTTTGCTCATCTTGAGAACGAGAGAGCTCTGACGTCTCTTCGTGACGAGCTAAGGGTAGCTCGTGGGATTGTTGATCGGTCTCGGGATGAGATAGCTGCTCTTCAGACCCTTGTCGATGGCCACCATCGGGAGCACAAGGCTCTCGGCGAGATGCTTGAGCGCAAGGGCGTTCTTCATCGGAAGAAGCAGCGTACTGATGGTACGGCTTAAGCCGACCAACGTAAAACGTGGGATGCGCTCGCATCTTACGTGGCAACTCGATCGTGTATGCATTGCCTAGGCGGTGCAATACACGAAAAGGGCCGATGTACTTGGGTAGTAGTTTACTGCTACCCAAGTTAGTCACTTCATGCTTTGGTAGATTAATCGTAGACAGTAGGACTAAGTCACCTTTATTAAATAAAATAGTGTTTGCCCTTCCATTCTTGTCAGCGTTTTGCTTTGCTCATCCACCGCTTTGGCGATGGAGTCTTGCACAAAACGGACTACCGTTTCACGAGCCAGTATGAACTCATCTGATGACTCGTTAGCTTCAGTGTGCTGTGAGCGCACTGCAGCAACATCAATCTTTTCTTCAGTGAGGGCTTCCGCACTCTCACTGGGATCATCTTCTTCAGTGAGGGCTTCCGCACTCTCACTGGCATCATCTTCTTCGATATCGATTTTATCGATATCGGCATCAAACGCAATGACCTCTTCGTCAGAGCGTGATGAGCGTGAACCAAATCGGTTTTTGCTCGCGCGAGTCTCTCCCCCCCTTAAACCAGAGTTACACTCGAGTAAGGTGGGTACACGCGGATGGCGCAAGCCATTCACGTAAAACGGTGTATGTGTCGTGGACGCATGCACCGAGTTGTTGATGGCAAACTCTACCATTGGCAAAAACTCACTCCAACTCTTAAAGGAGTGTATGTATCCTCGAAGTATCTCTTCAAGGACACGATTGGCACGTTCCGTCTTACCATCTGACTCTGGATGATCAGATGTTGACATCTTCAAGCGCGTTCCGAGTGATTTGAACACGGACCGCCAGAAATCAGCAGTGAATCGTGGATCTCTGTCTGATACGAGTTCACGGGGCAACCCATGAAGTTGGGAAAATGGTGTCAATAAAAACACAAGCACAGCCACTTGCCGTGATTGTCTCTGGTACAGCCACAAGGTGTACAATTTTGCTGAATCTGTCAACAAATACGAGAATACCCGTATTCCCGCGTGCGTCTTTGGGTAACCCGAAGACGAAATCCATTGAGATGGATTCCCAGCACTCAGCCGTAACTGGTAGAGGCTATAAAGGTGCACGCATTGAAGGACTTGACTTCACTTGTTGACAGACTTCGCATGCGCGAACATACTTTCGCACAAATTGATACTGGCGGGGCCAATAAAAGTCTCGACTTACCGTGAGATATTTTTTCTCCCGGCCACGATGTCCTCCCATAGGAGCATCGTGATACTCGAACATGATCCGCAAACGCAGATCAGTATCATCTGGAATGACAAAACGTGGTGCGTCACCAGAAACGGCTGTATAATACAGTAAATCGTTGCGAGTAGTGTATCGATCTGATGCAGATCGATATGCAGACGACAATCGTTTCAACGATTCTGGAGATGGCTGTGAGAGATGTGTCGACAACTTCACAATCTCACCATCTTGGGCATGCGCCCGGCGCACATCATCATATAACGTTGAAGATGTTACGGTGGACGTCATAACTGCTACCGTGGCGGTCTCACTGTTGGGTTCCACGATTGGTTCAAAGTCGGACCGACGTGAGAGTGCATCAGTGACGACATTAAGTCGTCCTGGTTTGTACTCGACCGTAAAGTTGTATTCTGCAAAAAATGACAACCACCGCGCCATTCGTTGTGAAAGGTGCGGGCTGTCTACTGCCGTGCGTAAAGACGCATGGTCAGTGTAAACAATGAGGGGTCTATCTCCTGATAGATAGACTTTGAACTTCGCGAGTGCATACTTCATGGCAAGGAGTTCCTTGTCATGCACTGGATAGTTCCGCTAAGCTGGTTGCAGCTGACGCGACTGATAGCAGATGACGCGTTCAACGCCTTCAAGATCGTACTGCATTAATGCACAGCCGATTGCGAAATCGCTGGCATCACAGACCACATGAAATGGCCTGTCCTGATCGGCAATAGATAGGACTGGGGATTGTTTTAAGCTCTTCTTGATACCCTCAAAGGAGCGCTGCCATTCAGCGTTCTATAACCACCTCTCTTTCTTTATCAACAAACGAGAGAGGTGTACAGTCATCTCGGCGTAATTGCGTGAATACTTATGCAAATAAGCCGCTAGCCCAAGGAATTTTCGAAGACCTTTGACATCAACCGGCACAGGCCAGTCGGTGATCGCCTTGATCTTTTCGGGATTATGACGAACACCGTTCTTACCAACGATGCACCCAAGAAGTGGTATTTCGCTTGCTGCAAAAATACACTTCTTGAGGTTTGCATACAATTGATGCTTTTGCATGATTGGAAGAACCTGTCGGACGTGGTACCTGTGAACCTCAACGTCCAACTTTCCATCCATATCCCGACTGTGGATGAAAACTTCATCGAAATAACTCGGCGCAAATTCTCGTACTGGTCTCAACAGATGTGATACACATCTGTTGAACGTGGCAGGGGCATTACTAAGCCCTTGTGGCATTACTAGCCATTCCCAGAGCATGCCGCTAGGCGTGCTCACTGCGGTATAGGGTATGTCTCGTTCTCGCATAAGGATTTGATAGAAGCCATCCATCAAATCCATGGACGAAAAGTTGGTACTCTTCGACATACCATCAATGATTACGTCCTTCCTTGGTATCGGCGTCTGAGCCGGTACCGTTGCAGCATTCAACTTGCTAAATGCATGCACTATCCGCCACCCTCTTGTTGCTTTTCGCACACAGAAGGTCGGAGAGCTATGTGGGGAAGTTGATTCCCTCACATGGCCCGCAGCTAAACGATCGGCAAAGAACTTGTCGATCGCAAGTACTTGTTCACGAGGCAGTGGCCACTGCTTCATGACACAGTACTTCGAGCCTGGTTTAAGCTCGACCTCGTGTCGAGTACCTTTATCCTTCGGTAGTTCGCACGGAACAGTTTCATAGAATACATCCTTGAATTCAACCAAATCTTTATGAAGAGGATTTTTCTTGAGCGATTCCCACGACTGGGAGTCATATCGCTCAACTCGTGCCTTTTCATCTAGGACACTCTCGTCCGTAGATGAACTACTGAGAACTCTCTCGTTCTCAGTGAACACTGTTGCTGACCTTATGTCGGTTACACACTCGTCGTCAGCGACGAGTATACAGATCTGCTTGACTTTGCCACTACGCAGATCACGCAAGAACCTTTTTATGTTCGAGCGTTGGCAACTGAGTGATCTCCGAAGTTAACTTCGGATTGCAATCAGATCAAGTGTATAAGCGCCTACACATGATCCGTTATTGACTATGACATTCAATGTCTCTGTCATTTCCTGGGGACTTATTCCCTCAGGCTTCGAAGGACTTATTCCTTCGGCTTCCTGGGGACTTATTCCCTCGGGTTTCGGGGAACTTATTTTCACCGTATCTGTAATATCGGGACTTATTCCCTTAACTTCCTTGAGCTGTGGTTGCGCAACCACAGCGAGATCCTCTACGAAAGACTCTCCAGTCGATCCAGGATTGTCGTTTCGCTTAACTTGAGCGAACGATGGTTTCTCTTCTAGATGTTCTTCGCTAGGGATACATCTTTGTCCCGGTCCACTCGACTTATTCGAGTGGTGGACCTTCGGCGCAGCCTGTGTTTCCTCACAGCCACCGGAACTTTGCTCCGAAGTGTAATCGTTTGTTACACTAAGGTTTTGTGCAGTCGTACTAACGACCATACCACAAGTGAGGCCATCGCACTCACTCGCAGTACATCCACACGCTTGTGGACGCTCCAAAACGTTCATCAGATGGCCATCTGATGAACAAGCGGCAGGCATCGTTACTGTTCGATGTTGCCAGTTTACCCGTGGTTCGTACCTTCTGAGCAACGGTATTCCAAGGATGACATCAAATCTGTCATCCAAATCCAATACGATAAAGTCATCGTCATATTGGGTATCTTCTAGCGTATGGTGAATCTTCACTATACGCTTCATGACGGTTACGGATGCGCCTATCGCAAGACGTACCGTCATCCTCGTAGGAGGTGTGTCACATTCAACAAACTTGAAGTGACCATCTTCTAGCGATTGGCGTTGCACAAAATTGTTGGACGCCCCACAATCGACTAGAGCTCGAAGGGACAACTTATTCGTCAGTTCGAGTTTCAAGGTAATGAGTGAGATCTCATAACCTAGAGCAGCAACGCACAACATTTGTGTGTTGGGAGCAACCTTCATCAAGATACCTACAAATTCTCTTGACGTTGCTGGACCAGTAGGGTGCTCCGCACCTACTGATCCTGTCCGTTTTTTTTGACGTCCGTCCCGTTGTTGCGTCTTTGCGCCAACAGCGGACCCGCGTCCCTGCCCCTTTCTCATGGGTAGACGGTCACTACGCCCAGTGTTGCGAGACACTGGACGAGGGGCACTACACTCGTAAGCGTAGTGTCCTGTCTTTTGACATCTGTTGCATTTCTGCAACTTCTTGTAGTCTGTAGAGCGAGCCTTCTCGCTCTCTACATAACAGAGTTCCATCGGCTCTGGACCTCCGCTGTCATATCGTCTCGGTTGACGATATGATGTCGAGCTGGCGCGAGACTGTCTCAGACTGAAGTCTTCCTGTTCCGCAATGGAAATGGCTTGTTCTAGTGAATCTAGTTCAAGCCGGAACAGGTGAGTCTTGACGGGACCATCCGCAAGACTCTGCACGAACACCGAAACCAACGTGTGTTCATCCACCGGATTGGAGCTTATACAATTCGTGAGGTGTCGTTTATGTTGTGCGTAAGCGTGCACATCACGCTTACCCTGTTTGAGCTTCAAGAGTTCAGTTCGATCTCTGAACTCAGCTCTAGGCGGTTCAAGCGTTTGTCTGAGCCGCGACTTGAAGACTTCTAACGACCCAAACGCATTTGGGTCGTGCAACTTGAGCCCTAAAGCCCAACTCTTGGCACGTCCTGCCAGATTTGACTGGGCAAATGCAACTTGCATATACCCGTCGTCGATGCGACGCGCCCTTATAGCGTCGTCTAATTCGACGAACCATCTCAAGAGGGAG